TTCTGGCTTGTAGGGTTTCCGCTGAGAGATCTGCTGTGAGTCTGATGGGCTTCCCTTTGTGGGTAACCCAATCTTTCTCTCTGGCTGCCCTTAGCATTTTTTTCTTCATTGCAACCCTCGTGAATTTCATTATGTGCCTTGGGGTTGCTCTTCTTGAGGAATATCTTTGTGGAGTTCTCTGTATTTTCCTGGACTTGAATGGTGCCTGGCTTGCTAGGTTGGGGAAGTTCTCCTGGATAATATCCTGAAGAGTGTTTTCGAGCTTGGATTCATTCTCTCCGTCACATTGAGGTACACCTATCAAATGTAGATTAGGTATTTTTACATAATCCCATATTTCTTGGAGGCTTTCTTCATTTCTTTGCACTCTTTTTTCTCTATTCTTGCCTTCTGATTTTATTTCATTGAGTTGTTTTTCAATCTCTGATACTTTTTCTTCTGCTTGGTCTATTTGGCTATTGAAATTGTGTATGCTTCCTGAAGTTCTTGTGCTGTGTTTTTCAGCTCCATCAAGTCATTTATATTCTTTTCTAAGCTCTTTATTCTAGTTAGTATCTCATGTAATCTTTTTTCAAGGTTTTCAGTTTCTTGGCATTGGGTTAACACATGTTCTTTTAGCTCTGAGAATTTTATTACCTACCTTCTGAAGCCTGTTCCTGTCAATTTATCAGATTTATTCTCCATCCATCTTTGATCCCTAGCTGGTGCGGAGTTGTGATCCTTTGGAGGAGGAGAGGGGTTCTGGTTTTTGGTGTTTTCATCCTTTTTGCACTGGTTTCTTCCCATCTTAGTGGGTTTATCTACCTGTGGTCTTTGTGGTTGATGACTTTCAGATGGGGTCTCTGAGTGGATGTTCTTTTTGTTGATGATGAAATTATTTCTTTCTGTTTCTTAGTTTTCCTTCTAACAGTCAGGCCCCTCTGCTGCAGGACTGCTGGAGGTCCGCTTCATACCCTGCTTGCCTGGGGATCACCTGTTGGGGCTGCAGAACAGTAAAGGTTGCTGCTAGTTTCTTCTTCTTTATCTTCATCCCAGAAGCGTACATGCCAGATGTTGGCCTGAGCTCTCCTTTATGAGGTGTCTTTTTGGGTATACAGGGGTCAGGAAGCTGCTTGAGGAGACAGCCTGTCCCTTATAGGAGCTCAAGTGCTGTGCTGGGAGCTCTGTCATTCTGTGTAGAGCTCCTGGGCAGGTACTTTTAAGTATGCTGCAGTGGAACTCATAACTGCTTTTTTTCCCAGGTGCTCTGTCCTAGGAAGATCGTCTTTATTTATAAGTTCCTGTCATGGTGTTGCCTTTTTTCATAGATGCCCTGCCCCACATGGAGTAGTCTAGTCACAGTCTGCCAGCAGAAGCGTTGCTGAGCTGCTGCACTCTGCCCAACTGCTTTGTGAACTCCCTCAGTAGCAGTGGACTGCCTCAGTAGTGGTGGTCACCCTTCCCCGCCTGAGCTGGACTGTCCTGGGTCCAGCTGTGCTTGCTGCAAAACTCTCAATCCAGAGCGTTTCAGATTGCTTGTTTTGTGGGGGTGGTACCCGCTGAGCCAGATCGCCTGGCTCCCTGTCTCTGTCCCCTCCCTTTCAGTCCCCTCCCAGGCACTCCAGGCACCAGTTGAAACAGCCGCCCAGATTTCTGTGAGTTTCTATGTGCCAACCCAGCACCAGCTGAAACTGTTGTGCTGAAAACTAGTGGTGCTTTTCGGCCCAGGTTTTTTTTTTTGCTGCTAGTTTCTTCCTTGTCTGTGGGCAGTGAAAATTTGTTTGGAAATGCACTGGGCACTCACCCTCTGCGTTATTCTTGCTGGGAACTGCACGCTGTTCCTATTCGGCCATCTTGGATCCTCCCAAAGAAGATATTAATAAGAAAATTCCTCAAAATCACACTTAGAAAGTGGCTAAAATGAGATACCAACTCTTGTGTGTTTGATTGCCAAAACTACAATCCTCTCATAGTATCATGCCATCCCTAATGGTAACATCTTATAATTTTTTGCTCTGTATATTGTCTTATGTATTCTCATTATTCACAAAGTTACATAAATAGAAAAGATTAAAATTATCGTCACCTGATATGCTGTCATAGCACCCCATGTACACTCCCATTATCATAGCTCCTCCTCACACTATGTTCTATTTGCCTGTTCTTTACCAGACAGTGAGTGCGTTAGGAGCAGAAATGTGTCTGGTTCTTATATCTCCAGTGCCTGGAGAAATGCCTGGTACTGGAAGGGGCTCTGTGATGGTTGACTGAATAAATGATTGTGTCATAGATTTGGCCCTTTGCATTCATAGGCTGGCATTGTAAGATCCCCTTTACTAGAGCATGGTTCATTTTCCCAGCTACTGTGGGGAAGCTCAAGGACAGAGACCAGAGCCTTGCTCATAATAAATAGATACTCAGCACATAAGATCAGTTCTAGGCTGCATTCCTCCTGGGTCCAAGAGGAAGAGCCAAGCCAACTAGTTTTGAGAAAATTGGCATATGCCATTTACAACAGGGGAAATATAAATGACTCATGAGTGTAAAAAGATGTCTAATTTCACCATTGATCATAGAGACACAAGTGAAACAAGAATTTACCTTTGATGTATAAAGTTAGCAAAGATTAAAAGGTTGGTAATACTCAGCATAGTAAGAACATAGGAAAATAGGTCCTTGCTGGGAATGTAACTTGGTAAAAGTTTTTTAAGGACAATTTGGCAATGGATATCAAGTTGTAAAATGGGAATATGCTTGGATACAGTAATTCTACACTTTGTACAAGTGCACAGTGCTGGAGCAGTCAGTCCTCCTTCGGCCCCTGGCACTCCTCTTCTGGATGTGGCAAGACTGCAAGACTGATTGCTCTGTTACAGGGGTAGTTTCTCAGGGTTATTTTATGTGCTGGTAAATTTGAGAGATAAGGTACAATCTTTTTTCATACCAAGAGTAGGCTTATTTAGTGCTTGCTATAAAGCAATGGATTCCCAAGGCTCAGTGTTCCTTAGCCACAACACAAACCCACTGTGTGCATATCATCCATATGGCCCATATGGCATAATCCTGTGGGACTTGGTGGCAAGGAAAATCAACACAAACAAGCTGATGCTCCTGTTGCCTGCTATGCAGTAAGTAACAAGGTCCTTTGTCTAATAAAAAACATATCATCCCATTTTCTACAGATAAGTAAACTTGGGTTCATTAAAAGTAAATAGCCAGCCCAGAGCACATGGTCGTTTACTTGCAGATGGAACCAAAGCCCAGGGTGACTGAGCCTTAACAGCTAAACACGGAGAATCTGGATAAGCAATATGAGAGACTGATAGAGGAGAATCACAGGGCAAGCTCTCATAACAAACTTTATATGATCAGCATTCTCCAGTCACTCTGGAAAGCATCCAAACTGTTACCATGGCCTGCTGAATGCTCATGGCTACTGGGTCACTCACTAGAACAGTGATTCTCAGATTATGGCCCCCAGACCAGAAGCATTAGCCGCCCCAATAAGTTAATAGAAATGCTTAATTCTCAGGCCTCCTGGATTTGCTTAACCCAGACCTCCTGGAATTACTAAAACACCACAACCTGTGTTTTCACAAGCCTTCCAGGTGATTCTGAGGCACACCCAAGTTTGAGAAGATAGTGCTCCTGTGCACGCTGCAAAACTCTCCTCAGCTGAGCTGATCCTTACTGAGAGACCGTGGGGCTAGTTCTCATACATGTTCATAACAATTGCACTTGCCACTCTATTTACATATTTTAATTAATTATGTTTACCAGTGAAATATGAAGGCAAAAGAAAAGGAATGATAGTTTCTATGACAACCATATTGAATATTTTAGAAAGAGTCAATAAAGGTAAATCACTAAAAAATGTTCTTGAAAGAGAACAATTGGTGAACATCTAGTGTTTTGTACTCTGTTGTATGAGTCTTTATATATTCATTCCACTTTAAATAAACGTATCTGGAGATCAGAAAAATAAATGTGGTTTAGACAAGCAATGTGGAGCAAAATACCAAACAATGATTCTACATTCAAAGAAAAGGCCCCAGGGCTACATCAAAAGATTTGCAGATGAATATGCATTTACCACCATGTTTTTAGTTAAAATAGACTGTTTAAGGTATATAATTTTCTGTAATTTCATATTTAAATAACTCTTAAAAAGTTAGTTGACTGACTTCTGGCCTCTACTGTGCCAGAGAGAGCTTCCCTTGGAGGGATTTAAATCCTGATAAGAGATTACAACCTAGAATGGGGGAATAAGATACAACTAACTTAATTGCTGTTCCTTTCATTCTTGGCTCATGAACAAAGAGGTCTGGGTCTCCCTCTTTGCTTCTATATCTCTGAACCAAGAGGATACCATCATTAAACAGCTATACCCTTGAACAGCATGTTTAATGGTAATATATGGGACATGACCTAATATCCATTATTAAGCTCAGTGGTTGATCGGTTTGCCTCTTGGGGTCTGGTAAAAAAAATTATTTGGTCCCAGAGTGCAGAAGCATTCAGGACAGATCAATCAGAAAGAAGTGAAGCCATTTGTCCCCGAGAGAGAAGCCATTGTTCTCCCCATCCCACCCTTCTCCTTTGAGAACCCTTCCTCACCTCCTTCTCTCACGGGCTCCCATGTTGGCCCCCTCCCTTGGTGTGTCTGACTGCTGGAATCCTAATTCCTGCTGGTCAATCTGTTCACTTTCCTGCAAATGTGGATTAGGTAAACACAAACTCTAAGTCTTTATTGAATGTATAAATTGAAAGAGAAGAACAATTCGGGCTGATGCAGTGGCTATATCCCCATGTGCTGGGATAAGCAGATAGACCCAGCCTGGAAGAGAGAGAATGAAGCCTTTGCCCAGAGAAAATTGGAAACAAGAGATCCTGTGACTGTGGACAGAATAACTTTGGGAGGCTAGTTGAGTTTCTTGCAGTTAGGAACCATAAGCTACCCACATCACCCCCATCCTTCTAATAAATTGCTTCTTTTTTCCCCCTTAACCTCAATTTTCTAGGCCCCGTTACTTGCATGACACTATTCTTGGATCAACAAATACTTACTGCCAGGCATCTTGGTGAGTATATTGAAAACAAACATTAGCAATTCTATGACAATGACTTTTGTTGTTTAAAATCTGAACTTCGAGTAGTTGCAGATAGAGATCATTTACTGACTAACAACAGAGAGGTGACGTCTCAGTGTGGAATAGGAACAGCCTGAGAATCATTAAAAATCAAAGATAAGGAGAATTTGGATAATGTTTTATAGAAGAGACATTTACTCAAGCAGAACAAAGACTAGTCGACTATTCTCTTAGCTATTAGCCAGTGACATTTTTAAAGCTATTCTTGATTATGAAAGAATTGGACATTTATATCAGGAGCATTGTATAGCATTTGTTTATTATACATAAGCATGGCTAAGTTAGTTCTTATTTTAAAGTTGATTTAATCATTACTTGTAAATGCTATTGGTGTTTGATATGCGGTTTGGCTCTGTGTCCCCACCCGAATCTCATCTCACATTGTAATCCCCACGTGTTGAGGGCGGGATCTGATGGGAGGTGACTGGATCACGGGGGTGGTTTCCTTATTTTGCTGTTCTTGTGACAGTGAGTTCTCACAAGATCTGATGGTTTTGTAAATGTTTGACAGTTCCTTCTACACACAGTCCCTCCTGCACCTTGTAAAGTAAGTGCCTGCTTCCCCTTCACCTTCTGCCATGACTGTAAGCTTCCTGGGGCCTCCTAGCCATGCTTCCTGTTAAGCCTGTGGAACTGTGAGTCAATTAAACCTCCTTTGTTTATAAATTACCCAGTCTCTTGTAGTATCTTTATAGCAGTGTGAAAACAGACTAAGACAGTGTTTTAATGAAATCTGAAGTTAAAGAACCATCCTCCTGCCCCCACTCCTAGGACACTGTGAAATATTGACAAGTCATGGACTTCACCTGCCTGATACAGTCATGACTCTGATACCCAGAGGAAGCAATGTCAGGTGAGCAGCCCCACCTACTGAATCTTTTAACAAGCCTCACTTCTATCTGGCAGTTCGACACACACTATGAACCATCTAAATGTAGAAGAGGTTTTCTCCTGCACCTCATTTCTTGTGTTCCCTCCCTAATCTCATTAAGAAAGGAAAACAGATGGTAGAGCTTTGTCTTGGAGGACGTAAGCCGTCCAAGAAAGAGGATAAACCACAATACAGAGGAAAACTAAACTGAGATTACTCTAGGCATCCCTGCCTGTGAGCTGGAGAAGACTTGGGGGTTGTGGCAAACAAGCTGATGAGGAAATGAGAACTCAGACACAGCTGAAGAGAGTCATGGCCTATGGCTGGGGAGGGCAAGACAGCTAGGGGTTGGGGCCTTTCTTCTTTTTACCCAGAGAATCAAAGTCTTTGCCTTTGTGAAAGGAGAAAAGTAAAGGTGGGATTCAGGTGAAAGGGATGGGAATAGTGGGGCTAAGGCAGAGTCAGATGGGAAGGATGACGTCAAGGAGGGAGGTAAAGGAAGACAAAAGGTAAAAGACAAGACAGAAGGGACTCATCTAAGTTGGCATGTGTGTATAAGTCAGGAAGGGTCATTCTGTCTGTGTGTGTGAGTGTGTGTGTGTGTTTTGCCCAAGGAACAGACTTTTGGTGGAATAGTTTCAATGTAAGCAGAGCACATTCATTTTAATTCATTTTTTACTTTTACAGAAACATACAAAAGAGAGTTAAGGGATTAAGAGTGCAGAATCTGCTGTTGGACAGACATGGTTTCAAAATCTGGCTTTGCCACTGTTAGCTGTGTTACCTTAATTGACTTATCTAACCTCTCTAAACCTCCCTATATAAAAAGTGGAAGACAGTAATTTCCCTGTAGTAGGACCGCCCTGAGAAAGAAGCAAGATATAAGTGTAAAGTGATTTGTCAGGTAACAGTAAACGCTCAGTTACTTCACACAGTAATTTCTTCCCCCTCCTTCTTCACCTGATGTAGGAGAATTTGTCAAACTTGAGCATTACAAAAATGTGCAACAGAAAGAATTAGAGAACTCAGCAATCCAAAAGCTGCCAAATGAGGGATTTCTGCATTTTGGGGGGGTAATATAAAGCAGTTACAAGAAAAGTGAAGTCACAGCCTCCGCAGCTTATTTTCAGTTCTTAGAAAAGAGGCAGTGTCAAAGGGAAAGCGGCTGTGCCCCAGCACACAGACTACGTTGTCTGGCAGGGGGCGTTTGCTGATAAACCAGCTTGAATTTGGCACCAGAAACCCAAAACCTCTGACATATGTTTTCATTTGGTGATGTCAAGGAGGAAACACAAGCCAAAACAATGAGTTATTAACACTCAGAGAAATCACACAGCTCAGCTAACATGCTGGGGTGACACCCTTCCAGCACCAAGACACTAGCAGTTTTGAGGGACTGTCAGAAAAAACAGTGTCTTCCTTTTCCTACCCCACCCCGCCCCACATTCCTGAGATGTGTTATCGCTCAAGCCACCATGTCAGCCCAACTAGCATTTTTCAATGGACATTATTTCCCAGAAGTTGGGTGAGGACAAACGGGGTAGAATATGGTACAGGTGGTTTTTGGTAGCTTGGGTCTGCTTTCTGGCATACAAGCAGGTTTTGCCACAGTAGGGCAGACTTCAGGTTAAGATCTCAGGAGTCTGCTACACATCCAGCTGAGGGGCTACTACCGGTGCCCCATAATAATTTTATGAATAAGGTTTGCCTTTTTTTTGAGACAGAAACTGGCTTCATCGTCCAGGCTGGGGTACAGTGGTGTGACCTCAGCTCACTGAAACCTCTGCCTCCTGGGTTCAAGAAATTCTCATGCCTCAGCCTCCAAAGTAGCTGGGATTACAGGTCTATGCCACTATGCCTGGCAAATTGTTTTCTATTTTTAGTAGAGACGGGGGTCTCACTATGTTGCCCAGGCTGGTCTCAAACTCCTGGCCTCCAGTGATCAGCCTGCCTCGACCTCCCAAAATGTTGGGATTACAAACATGAGCCATTGCACTCAGGCATTGTGACTAAATTTTAACTCAAGAATTCTGTAACAAAGATCTCACTGTCTGCACCAAAATTTAATTTCAATGTCATCAAAAGCAACTCATCAAGTGACCCAGCCAGGGAGAGTGCCTAAGGAGACAGGATGACAAAATGGAATGCGGTGCCCAGATGGGACCCTGGAACAGGAAAGGACATTAGGAATAACCCAAAGAAATCTGAATGAAGTACAGACTTGGGTTAATAACAGCATCTCAATAATGGCTCATTAATTTTAACAAATGCACCATACTACTGTAAGAAGTTAATAATAGGGGAAGCTGGGTACAGGTACATGGGAACTCTTTGTACTATCTCTGCAATTTCTCTCTGACTCTGTGTGTGTGTGTGTGTGTGTGTGTAGACAAACAAGAATATACTGATCCTCCCAGCAATAATGATTTGGTGCCTGCCAAGTGTCACATACAATGTAAAAGTGATCTACACATATCTTCATTTATTCCTCACACCAGTGCTATGAGCTGGGCATAATCTGCATTTTACAGATAAGGAAACTGAAGAACAGAGAGGCTAGGTACCTTGTTCGTAGTCACATGGAAAGGTTAGTGGCAGATAAACGGCTCAAATTCAGGTTGACAGGACAGCTCAGCAATATTGCCTCAAAAATCCCAAAATGAGAGCATAATTCAAAACAAGCTTCATGTGGGCAATGAAAACAAGGCACACTTTCCAATCTGCCTCGCTTTAAAAAGAAAAGAGTTTAAAAGTACAGCACAGCCGAGCACAGTGGCACACGCCTGTAATCCCAGCACTTTGGAAGGCTGAGGCAGTTAGATCATGAGGTCAAGAGACTGAGACCATCCTGGCCAACATGTTGAAACTCTGTCTCTACTAAAAATATTGTTTTTAAAAATTAGCTGGGCATGGTGGCATGTGCCTGTGGTCCCAGCTATTTGGGAGGTTGAGGAAGGAGAATTGTTTGAACCCAGGAGGCGGAGGTTGTAGTGAGCCAAGATCGTGCCACTGCACTCCAGCCTGGCAACACAGTGAGACTCCGTTTCAATAATAATAATAATAAAAGCACAGCACACCAGCACACCCAAAACAATGACAACACTCAATGCTGGAGAGGATGTAGAAAAGGAACTCCCCTTCATTGCTGGTGAGAATGTAAAAGCAGTCTGGTAGTTTCTACAAAGCTAACCATAGGTTTACCATATGGCCCAGCCATTGCACTCCTAGGCATTTACTCCAATGAGATGGAAACTTAATGCCCACACAAAACCTGGGCATGAATGTTTACAGCAGCTGTATTCATGGTTACCAAAGATTGGAATCAAGTAAGATGTCCTTCAATCGGTGGATTAGATAAAACTATGGTACATCCATACAATGCAACATTATTTAGTGATAAAAAGAAATGAGCTGGCCGGATGTGGTAGCTCATGCCTGTCATCCCAGAACTTTGGGAGGCCAAGGCAGGAAGGTGGCTTGAGCCCAGGAATTCGAGCTCAGGATTTCCTGCCTGTAGTCCCAGCTACTCAGGAGGCTGAGGTGGGAGGATTGCTTGAGCTTGGGAGGTTGCAGCTGTAGTGAGCCATGATCATGCCACTGTACTCCAGCCTGGGTGACCTGGGTGACCCATCTTAAAAACAAAACAAAACACATCAAATAAATAAATAAATGAGTTGGATGTGGTGGCACACAGCTGTAATCCCAGCTATTCAGGAGGGTGAGGCAAAAGAATCACTCGAACCCGGGAGATGGAGGCTGCAGTGAGCAGATATTGCACCATTGTACTCCAGCCTGGGTGACAGGGTGAGACTCCGTCTCAAGAAAAAGAAAAAGTTCCTAAGGAATTCTTCATGTTTCTATCTTATAATAAACATGGGCATTTATTTTAAAAGCTAATAGGCTGCAAAAAGACCTGGAGGAGTTCAGACACAGTGGCTCACACCTGTAATCCCAGCACTTTGCAAGGCTGAGGTGGGAGAATTTCTTGAGCCCAGGACTTTGAGAGCAGCCTGGGAAACATGGCAAAATCCTGTCTCTACAAAAAATACAAAAAATTCAA